AGTGCACTACCTTCGTGATAAGCTTTTTTAATATTATTATTTTTTCTCCTTGCACAAGTTAGCCCGAATACTTTACTTCTATTCTGCTGTTGCATATACAGAATGTCTTGACATTCTGAAAATTTAAATTCTAACCATATATCTACAAGCATGCACCAATTATGAGGGGTGAGATTATATTATATTACTCAGTATAATTTGTTCCTTAGATGTAAACATTTAGGATGATGTTAATCCAGAAATGTAGCCGATTTCAATGACTCTGGCTGGTCATTATTATTGTTTATGGAGCCCATGTGTGTCAAAGCTATCATTAAATGATCATCACTATTTTATTGTTAAATGTAATCTGTTGCTTTACAGACGTGGCTGAATGTGTGGGGTTGGCAGCAGTCTTACAGACAGGCCGATAGAGATCAGCAGTGACTGAAGCCTGGGGTTTGTCCTTCCTACAGCTATGAAGGACAGCCTTGGGTTTGAGAGGAGACTGACATTGATTTTCTTGGCCTGGTTATGTGATGGCTGAGACACCTGCCTCTGATCGTTAACACTGACCAAAACAATTTCTTTTATTGAAAACATTGCTATCCTGACACACACAGACACATACATGTACGCACTGACACAGATTTTAAGAAAGGTGATGCCTGGGAAGCTGAAAGGTGTCTAAATCTTTCAGTGAAAATCATCTAATTTGTTAACATGTCACACGTTCTCGCCTTTACCAAATGGGTTTATTGATTTTTCTATTTTAAGATGTTTTTTGGCCTGTCCACTGGGAACAAATTTATTCAGACTAGAGGGTGATCTGGCTTGGCTTTGTTTGATGAAATGACTATTTAGCTACTTCACTTTGAACTATGATAATATGGCATTCATCCCCCAGGTTATTTACCTTGTGATTTTTGTTTTCATTCATAGTCTTTATTTAACATGGGTTAGCTCTGATAAAAGAAAAAATACATTTACCTGTACTGTACAGTAGTTGTTTTATTTTATCTCCAAACAGAATTATGTATTCGACACAACATTGTTTGGAAAAATTATAAATAAGAGAGAGAGGGAAGTGGATTGCAATCAGTGACATGCAGATTAAAGCAGTTCAGCTGGGCGTGTGATGGATTCAATTTATTCTGTACAACTTTTTACCTCACCTTATTTTATACAATCCCAACCCCCTTCTCTCTTTTTAAAAGTTTAAAGTTGACCAAGTTGACAGGCAATGCACTGTTATGCCTTGGACAAGGTGGATTGGACGCTCTAATGTCAGATTACCCATTCTTCTGGTATGTTCTATTAACTTGGTGTTTGCTCTGACAGAGTGGCGGGAGTAAATAGCCAGTCAAGTTTGGTATGGACTACAGACAGGGATCAGAGTTAAATGGCAGCAGGTTGTGGGTGCTATATGGAGGCAGAGTAGAGGCTGCATAGAGATGAAGGGATTATGGTTATGATTCATCTGCTGGTAGCAGCAAATCTCTGCTGGGGATAGAGAAATATATTCCACCTTTGTGTGGAGCCGTATTGGAGCAATGAACTGGTAAACATCTTGCTCGATGATAGTTAAAATGTAGGCATTGTGCAATTGAGAGAAACCATTTTACACAAGTTTTCTGCTGGGATGAGCTCTGAAGCAGAGCTGGAGTTTGAAATATATGGCATTAAAGGTCAGATAAAAAAACAACAACAAAACATTCAAGCGCAATACATTTATTTGTAACAGTGCTTTAAAAAAAATGTGCTAACTCAATTTAATCAAGTAAGAGAAGAGTAAATAAATGTAATCTCAATTTCAGTATTTGAAAAATCATTGTGTAAAGCCAGTAAGTAATTCAGGCTCACAGTGGGCTGTTTTGTGATACATGTCACAAGATTAGGGAAAAACAGCAGTATTGAGAATTGGCCTGTTGCCTACCTTATTCAAAATATGTGATCAAAGGATTAGCACCAAGATCATCTGTGTGCCCATCTGTGTACTTGCACACTAACCTAAAGATCCAGTGTGTAACATTTAGGAGGACCTATTAGCAGAAATGGAATATCATATTCATAGGTATGTTTTTATCCATGTATAATCACCCAAATATCGGAATCGTTATGTTTTCATTACTTTAGAATGAGCCGCTTTGATCTACAGGCACAGCGGGTCACCTCTCATGGAGTCTGCCATGTTTCTACAGTAGCCCAGAAAGGACAAACCGAACACGGGCTGTAGATGGGGCGTATTGCGGTTTTTGCGAGTTTCACAGCCACACTAGTTTCTCCTTCACAGCCTGTTCTCATTCCTACACACTGGCCCTTTAACACAAGGGGATATGTATTTTAGAGATTCAACAATTCTCCATAAGCCAAAGAAATGTAAAATGATGTGATACTGGAATCATCATGTTTGGCATTTTAGTTTGACACATGAAATTTACTAAATTTACTTTATTAAAATTATTGCATGTAAAAAAAATAAAGTCAACTGACTGATCAATTCATTGACAATTACAATAACAATGTTTCTTACTGAATGTAAACCAACACTTTTGTGATTATTGTTCCATAACAGTTAGCATAAAAAAAGTCTGAAACACTAAATTTTTACTGTATCCTATCAAAGAAAAGCATGAATTTTGGGAAAATGTTTTAAGAATAGTTACATCCTACTACATGAGTTCACGTCAGATTGCTGTACTGTTCACTAAGTTTTTTAGTCCCTGTAATTTAATATTGAGTATCTGCCGATACCGAGTCCCGATCCGATACTTAATAGATAATACAGTGCACATTGCACACTGCAGGTAACATACATTAAAGTTATTAAAATCAATCCAATGTATAGGCTTGCAACTGAATAGCTCTGCATTGCATTAGGAACAAAATGCCTGCATCGTGCTATTCCTTAATGTTTTTGTTATTTATTTACACAGTAAAGCAGCTATTAAATAACAAACCCTCTGTAATCTTTTTGGTGTTGTCGCTGTCTGGAGGGAGTTTCTCTCTCCAGTTTTTGGTGCAGCTTTTACCTGCGTTACTGGAATGAACTGTGTGTATTCTACTGACTCTTTTGTGCGATTACAATCATTAATTACTCTTAATGGCTTTATGTTCGCAGGACTTTTGTTGCACTTGGTGTGTTTAATGTGGTTGTTTCTCTACCGCTCTTCTCCTCCGAGCAGAGGCAGCCCCGCCTGCAGTGAAACTATGCTGACCACTCATGCTCTCTCTCTCACACGCACAAACACACACACACACACACACACACACACACACAGACACAGACACAGAGACAGCGCTCA